AACATCTCCAACCGCAGGAGTTTCACAGCCGTTCTTTACTGCCTTAAATAGTTTCTTGAAGAATAGCACTAGATGCCTTCTAGATGGACATTGCAAGGATCACGTCAAGTGCAGAAATAGAAGATCTTCAACAAGAAATTATTCGACTCAAACGACGGTTGTCAAGGCTTGAACAAAGGACAGACTGGAGCACTCTCGGCCAAGACTTTGATGGTTTCCAATCGCGGGACAATTATGCTTCGATGAAGGATTCAAGATCCTTCGTTCTAACTAAATCCTTAGGAACCGACGGCGACGACGACGACGACGACGAGGGCATTGCAGAGGATCAGATCTCTTCGACCCCACCCTCGATCGAATTCAACTTTAAAGAATTTGAAGATTCGTTGTCGAAATCGTCATCTTTGCCTATCTTTGATGAACCCATGTATGACGTGTATGATGACGACATGTTCTTGATGTTGATACACCTGTGAATAATGATGATAAAAGCAAGCCAATTCAAGAGGTCATTGCATAAAGGAATAATGTTGGAGACGAATGCACGGTAAATGTTAATGCCATGATTCCAGCATTTGAATGTGTTCATGATGGTTGGGATGTTATTGAACTCAAGGTGGAAAACAACAAGTTTTGTCTGTTGGTCCACTTTAGATGTGTGGATGACAAGAGATTGAGAGCTTTAGCCGATCATGTTAAATCGGTGTTGAAAGAGTACCCAAAGCTACGGCTAACTCCAGGAAGAAAGGTGCTAGAGATTCGCTCCATTATTAAATGGGATAAAGGGAGGGCTATGGAGTTCCTGTTAAAGTCTCTTTGATTAGTAGATTGCAAGGACGTATTGCCTGTTTATATTGGTGACGATCTAACAGATTAAGATGCTTTCTCAATCACAAGTACTCCATTTGCTTATGCTACTCCTGAGAGATTGAGGATTGGTAGGCAAGTTGATACCGGATGGACCTATCCAGACTGGTTTAGCCAACCAAACCCGCCTCCTTGTGGCCAACTAGACATCTTTCCACGAGCCTGAAGTTCCTCCTACCCTGGTATAATGACGCCAGAGCTGAGCCATTAATTGTATTAACTTCAGGATAGTTTAATCCATTTGATAGTTTATATGGCTACATAGGATTAGTGTTTGCCTATGTTGTGTGTAGCCTAGTAGGTTGCTATGGTTTGTCTATAAATATATAGCCATTAAGTGTAATGAGGCAGATTTTAGAGAATAAAGAAAACGAAGGCTTTTGCCTTGTTGTTTTGGATTCCTGTATCCTGAGAGTGATCTTAGGTGGTGGATTCTTTCTCCAAGGAGTTCTTGGAAACTTGCTCAGCCTCGGTCACCGGATCGTTGACGTGGATTTGTCGAGCCCCCTCCGGCCCAGTGTCAATTTCTCTCTTTATCTCTCATTTGTTAATGTCCTCACTATGAACGTCTTTAACTTTGTTGGTGAGGTGGATCAAAAGGCATTGTATTCATTGGCTTTAACAGGCATCGAAATTCGCCTACTGCTGGCTTTTATTTTTGTTGGTTTCTGGATGGTTGCTATCACTTATCTTCAGTTCATGTACTTGTGGAGCTAGTTTTAATATCATGGCTTCCTAGATCAGTTGCCTGATGAACCTTGGCTTGGCTAAGGGCTTCCCTCTTTGTTTTCTTTCTTCCCCTTGAGAAACTCACCCTCATCTACAAATCGGGTTATGTGGGTATGCACGACCAGAACTCGTTGGTTCTCCTATTGAGCTTTAGTTGGGTTGCCTTTTTTAATCTAGTAAAGTTTTGCTTAGATATTTATAATATCATTTCATAAAAGCATTAACGGTTATTATATGTAATCATTATTGCGAACTCAGAATATTCAAAATTTATATGTTCTTTCTTAGAACTAGGATCTTGTTTTTTGTTATCCTTTGTTGTACAATTACTATTTTTTCACCTCTTTATTTATTGGTTTTTCTATCATTTTAAACACATAGTAAGATGTTAACTTCTTATTAGAAATAATGCATAATTATTATTAAAAGTAATGAATGTAGTTATAATCTTTATTTTGGGTTGTGTTGGAGGGGAGTTTTTATCTCCATAATTGAAGATATGATTTTGTTCATTTTGTTATTACTTTATGCTAAAGAAAGTTCTAGTAGGAATCCAAATTCTGCTTATATGCTCCCTTTTTAGTCCAGGCCTCTCCTATACGTTGTCGATGTTTGTGACAATATTTAGCAATCAAGCTAATTATGTCACTTGATGTTTCTTATTATTAATTTTAGCTTGTGGGGTTGGATAATATAACTTTTAAAAAAGGGTGAAATCTAGTGTATGGAGCTCCAATGTAGGATTGGGGTGGGGGTTAGTGCATACAATCTTACTGTTGTATTTGCATGGTGATTTTTTTTGTGACTGAAACCTCTGACATCTCAGCTTCAATGGATACAACTTTAATTATTTATCCAATCCCTACACTCCGCGCTCGTCTCGGTAGGAATATTACTCGTGTCATATATTGTATCTAAAATCTTTATTTTCAGCATTTATGTTAGTGTTTTGTTGGTTAGAGGCTACATGTTCCAAGGTTAGAGATTTTGATCTCTTTAACCTTAAATTAAGCGATACTGGCTATAGCTTTAAAAAGATGCTGGCAGCAAATTGGTCAAGTTGCTCTTCAATATATCTCAAGCATTTTGCTTATGAAACTTCTTACTTAAATGCTCTATCTTTGATATGCTTTACTCTGATTTTCTTCTTATATTATATTATGTATGTAAAATTCATTATCCTTATCTTTTTTTGTTTGTTTTCTGAGGCTAGTTGTACCAAGATTAGAGACTTTGGTCTCTCTAGTCTTGAATTAGCCAATACTGGCTGTAGCTAGAGAAAAAAGCGGGAAGCTAACTGGTCGGCTTGCTCTTCAATATCTCACAGGCATTCCGCTTACCAAACTTCTCACATAAATTTTCTATTCCTGATTTGCCTTGGTCTGAATATCATCTTATATCTTAATATTGTATCCAAAATATTTTTTCCTCATCTTTTATACTGGAGTTTGTAAGTTGGAGGCTACATGGAACGGTTTTTTTTTTTTTTTTTCATTTTGAAAAGTTATATAACTGAAAACCAAAAATATTGATGATTTAAGTTCTAAAGAGGAGATAAGTCATGAAAAAATGATTTTATAAAGATTATCTATGATGAAAAATGGGTGTTTTTAAAAGTAGTTTAGACTAAGTATACAAAATTTTCACTCATTATAGGCTTATGAGAGGAATTATAATCTAATTTGTATATTTTTATTAGAATATTTTCTTCATAGGTTCAGTTTTTTTTTTAAATGATAAAGTTCAATGGTTAAAATCTTTTGTGAACAATTCAATAGTAAAGCAATGCATGAATTCCTTGGAAGATAAATGCTTAGAATTAATAAAATAATGAGTATGTATATATTTTTTCATTGCTGTTTAGTGAACGTGAAAGTGATATATATTAATTAATATTATTGTAAGATTAAGGATCCGTCTGTTTGAACTTTTGCACAACTTTACTTTTTGTGCTTGCTAAGACCATTGCCGCACTTCACTTACCTATAGCTTTTTTGCCACTTTTCAAGAAATTTCTGTTGTGAGAAGCAACTTTTTTTAACCAAATCTGTTAGAATAAGCTGTAATGTAGATGTTGTCTAACTTCTTTGAAGGGAAAAAATCATAATACCTATAATAACTTGCAGAAAATTTACTTTCACCAAAAGTGATGGGGTATCAGCGGCTTTTGCATGCACTACTCATATCAATTGTTGTTTACCTTATTTTGTCGTTAGTCATATCAACAACTATGAAATCATCCAAACAAGCTGTTATGTAGCAGAACGTTGGGCCCTATTGTAGCATCTTCTAGTAGTTAGGTATATTTTATCTTTTTCAATTATAACTAGTTTGCTGCAAGTATTTATTTGTAGATGTAATTGAAATAGCAGGGTCTTCTGCTTTTCATATGAGGATATTCAATTTTTAATTGAGTTTTTTTCTTTTTAATTTCTAAAAAAATTCATCTACTACTTTTTTTTTGCCATTCATGCATCTTGGATCCAGTAAACCATCATGCATGGATGAAAAAAGCAGTGTTTGTCGATTTTTTTAGTAGTTTCAAGTCACCTTAATGGGCAAATCAGGAGTTTCTTAGTGATTCAGTACTGTGGCCCTGTTCAAATTTATCTTGCATTTCTTTTAGTGGTTTGTAAGCTTGATGTTATGAGATTTCATGTATTAAGGTTAGAGATTTTGGACTTTCTAAGCTTTGACTAACCAATACTAGTACTATTAAAATGAATGAAACAAATTGCTTAGCAAATTATTAGGCCTGAACTTCTCAACTTTGTATTTTGATTCATTGGAATATGGAGTACAAGAAGCTTTTGAGGGGAATATATCTGTGCATTATTATGATTTATGAATGAAGAGCAATTTAATAATATTTTAAATTCAGAAGACATACTTGTCGTCAATTCACTCATCATCACTTGTAATTTCTCTCATAATCTCTTATTGTTTGTGTCCTCAACCTCAACATCTTTGACTTTGTGGCGACGGCGGAGCAGAAGAATTTGAGCTTACACTTGCATGACAATTTGTCCACTTTCAGCTTCCATTTTGTGTTGTTTTCGCAATAGTTGCAGTCTCCTATCATCAGTTCATTTACTTATGAGCTAATTTTGATGCTCCAAGTGTTTAGCTACGTAGCCCGGCAATATTTAGACTTCGTTTGGGACTGTTTTTTTATTGCTTCTTAAAGTAACTTTTTAGTGCAATAATTAAAAGTTTTATACTAAAAAGCTGCTTTAAGAAGTTATAAGAAAACAGTCTCAAATGAAGCCTTAGCCTCGGTAAAAGTGCTTCCCTTATAGTTATCCTTTCTTTCCCTTGACCTCTTTTGTGCTTACATCTACAAATATAGTTACTGCTTTGTAGGATTGATGTACTCACCCACTTTTCATGTTTTTTGAACGCAGTTTGCCACAGATTGATGGCCTTTAGGCTTGTTGCCCTTTGCCATGATTGTAAACTTTTATGGCGCATGTCAGAATTTATCGTAGTCGCAACATGGCTAAATGGTGTACATTACATAATGAGGATTGCAGAAATATAAGATATACATTGATTAGCAAGGAAAGGAGAAAGCGCTAGACTGATTGGCCAAACAGGGAGAGGAGATAGTGTTGTATATTGTGGCCAAATGAGAATGTATGATTATAGTATTTACTAAAGTTTAGTGCCTAGTTTTACTTCTTCTTTTTTTTCTCACTGTTTTTGCGAAGGATCCACTTTTATCTTTGCAATGTAAATATTGGGTATAAGCAATTCTTCTTATTGTTTTCGTGATGGATCAATGTAGGTATTTGCAATGTGAATGTTTACTCCTATAAAGTATTTCATCTCATTTCTTGTGTAATATTTGTGTAGATCTTTCGTTCTCCTTTTATTTTATTCTAATAAAAAACTGAGAAGAATGTGTTGTTGTCATTTTTATTTTGCAAAGTTAGAAAGTCACTTAAGGAAAACCAACTCATGCCCATGTAACTAGACATCACAATGTCAACGTTTTAAAAATCGGACCGGACCGGCCGGTTGAACCGGCACTCGGTCGGCCGGTTCGATCAGCTGAAGAAATCGGGTAATCAAAGAATCGGTATTGAACCGGTTCGACCGGCGGTCGGACCGCAAAACCGGCGAATCGGAAACCGTGTATGAACCGGCCACTTAAGCCTAATGCGATTTCCACCGTTTGAGTAAAACACTAAAACATGTAAAACGAAGCCTAAATTTTATTTTCTACCTCCCGTAACTCCCGAAGCCGCCCGCTCCCGTGTCCGATTTTCTTCCTTCGTCGCTGCACTGGGCGATGCAGCTCGACTTCGTCCGTTCGTCGCTGCTCGCTGCAGATACTCCTTCGCCGTCCAGTTCTTAATCGTTGGTGCTTGAATCATTGTAAGATGTTAACTTTATTTTGAACAAATGTTATTATCATGATTAATAAAATGTCGGCATTTTGCCATGGATTTTGTTTCTCGGAGTCTGAGAGCCTCCGGAGCTCATGATCGGATGCAGTTGGGATTTTCTTCTGTCATTCCTATTGCTACGTTAGGCACGATTTTTTCATATAGAGCCTTTTGCCCTATTCTGCTCTACCACTGACGTCGGATCAAGAGATCCGAGGTCGGATTTTGAGAACCGTATCTTTGCTCTATTTTGTCTTCTTATGATTTTGCCCTATTTTGTTCTTCTTTAAACCGTATGTTTGCTCCCATAATCTTCTTATGATGAATATTAGTATTAAGGTTTTTTTTTTTTTTTTTGTACTGTTTGAGCCTATTAGGACTATTAGATTATATAAATTAGTTTAGTTAAGTGCAATTGTGTTTGCTGCGCTTCAAGACAGGAGCAATGGAACTTTGTTTGGCGACTTAGCTTAAAATCAAGTTTTACAGGAATACTTGTTTTGTTTTGTTGTAATTCTTTATTTGTGGTTCTCTTATTTAGTTGGCCATATGGATTTACATAGGAAAAAAATGGAGGATGCTTTATACTTGAACAAAATACTGGATAAGCTACTAAAATTTTGTTCCTTCATCCTTATGCTAAAGATGATAAGTCTTGGACCTTCTACTAACTTTCCCCATAT